GAAGCAGTCACAGATTTCGGGCGCGGTCCCCGTGAGGGAGAGATGAACCCTGACCTCGGGAGGCCCTCCATCCCGTAACCTCCGAGCGCCGGGAGCCCTGCTGCTGCTTGCACACGGTGGCCCCACAGCGCTCGCTGCGCACGGTTCTGATGTCCACGTCCACCTCCCGGATGGGCACCGGCACACGGCGCCGTCCCAGCGACAGAGGAGGGGACGCCGGGTCCCAGGGTCCGGCGAGCAGGTGGCGGCGCAGGTGCGATGGGTGCTCCCACCGGAACGCCTTCCCGGTGGAGCTCACGGCGCGGCCATGCAGATGGGAGGCCGAGGCGGCTCTACACCGGGCCCTCTCCCAGGACACGGGGCCGCGCGGCCCGTCCACATCCCGCCCCCGACGAGTATTACACGTACTGCCTCTCGCCTTTTTAAAGGTAGGTCTTGAGCTTTCCGAGGAGCCGGCTCCCTCCTTATCCCCGCCCCCAAATATCCTTCCGGGAGGTTACCGGTGACCTTTCGGAGAGCGGGGAGGAGGCACCTAGCAGCCACCCGCCCCTCCCTCCCGCCGGGTAGAAAGCTGGCTTTTCCACCCGAGATTCCAGCGCGGCTCTCACCTGCCCACCAGCCGCCGCGCCTCGCTAGGCCGCCGCCACCAGCGGGCCCCAGAGGTTGGGCCTCACACGGAAGCAGCCACTGGTCCAGGCCACCCGCGCCCAGCTCCGGGAGACGGAGCATGCGCAGCTCTGCGACTACCCCGGGCCCGCCTCGATTCCTCTCTCCGGGTTTTAGTGAAGTTCTCAGCCAAGAAAGCCGTGGCCTTGGCCGGAAAGAATGGGGGGGAGGGGGCGGGTTTATTAGCGTCACTTTCAAGGGGCGGGGCTTATTCAGCATCAATCTCAGCAAATTGGTGAAATTGAAAAATTTAAATATCGAATCAAATTGGCGCAGTACCTTCTTTATGGCGTGTGGTTAAGAGGCACTTACTGAATGAATAAACAAAGTAGTAAACGGTTCTCAGTGGCTTCCAGGCCTCCCTGATGTGGCCAATCACGAAGCTCCCGATTCTGTCGTTCAGAGCCAATTGCCCGCCTTCTTGTACGGCTGCCTTGAAAACCAGGAGAAAAGGATTTTATCACCATTTCTGTGGATTGGGTGGGAAAGCGGGCATGCGCAGTGCGAGCCGGTCGCACTGCAGCCGCTTCTACCCTCATCCCTTCCTATGGGGGCTTTAGAGACGTTGCGGGTGTTGCTTTTCAGTTTACCAAAACTTTTACCTCTCTACCATCCTAAGGAAATTATGTTTATGGTTATTTTAAAGTGTATCCCGCATTGTAAAAGCCACCTTTGCTTTCAAACCTGTCTTCTCTATAATCTTCCCCAATCGATTCCGAAGAATCTTTCCATCCTTGAGCGTCCGGTGCCGGGAAACACTCTACCATAGAAATGTCCCCCGCTTTTTTTCCCCCCAATCACTTCCGCTAGCAAGCGCAGTAGGTAACCGTGATTCATCACCTGCCAATCATTCACAGCAGTCGCAGGCTCTAAATAGCCCGCCTTTGCCGCCGTTTTTGTTTTGGTCTGTGCTTGAAAGCCGCGAGATCGTGAGCGGAGGCCATGTTTCTTTTGGGCAGATTCCTCGCGATACCGAGGCTCATCGACCAGTGCCTCGCCGCCATCTTAGGTCCTGGCTCTGGCTTCAAGCCCACCGCGCGGCTGCGCAGACCGTGTTTTAGGGGCGGTGGCAGCGTTCCCTGTCGCGTGGGGAGACCCTGGGAGGAGAAAGTTCCCCGAAGCGGGAGTCTCCAGAGCTTCTGAAGGTTGATTCAGAGCCCGCTGCCTCTGTAGTCTGAGTTCCCCAAACCAGATCCTCCTTCACGAGTGACCCTGGACAGTAACAAAAGCAATAAAAGCCCGAACCCACACCCTGCCACCATCGTAGGTAAGAACCTGGAACTCCGGACAACCTGAGATGTTACGTCACTTGAACTGTTTGTCCCTTTCTTCCCATTTTTTTTTTTCTTTCTGAATCCTTCTCCCTGTGCTTCCACCTCTCTTTATTGTGTTCAAAGAGCTAAAATGATGTTAAACATAAGGGTGCGTGCGGGAAGCCTGGACTTTAAAATTGGAAGTATTAGTCTGGAATTTTTTTTTTTTTAGGACAAAATGGACTATAATAAGTGGGTCAGTTATTTGTGGCAAATATCTATATGTGCAAATATAGCCCCCTTCCCAAACGTTTTTGGGTTGTGACATAAATACAGGTTGTACATGTTCATTCATTCATTCATTCATTCATTCATTTCATACATTTGTTGAGTACCGTAAAAATGCTGTAGTAAGCTGAAAATAACATTTTCTTTCATGGCGTTTACATTCCGTCAACCTTGACCGCTACTGGGTTGGGGCAAGAATAGTACAGCTATAACCTAGGACAGTGGTTCTCAACCTTGGCTGCACATTAGAATCACCTGGGAATCTTTTAAATCCTGATTC